AACAAGATTCCTCCCGGGGGGCCGGTCAACCCGCATAACCATGCCCCCCCCCCCCCCCCCCTGCCTGTCCCGCGGTGTGTCCAATCCAATCGACCTTAAACCGGTGATTCGACGTGAAAATGGAACAGGCACAAGGTGAACCGGTTCGTGCGCGTGCTTATGCGGCAAGAGAAGACGATGAAGGTAAATAAGACCAGTCGCGGTTCAGGAAGACCAAGTTACCTCGCATGCAAGCCATGGGTTGGGTTGTGGAGCTTGAACGGCCCATGTAGCTATAAATTTGGGGTTGGTTTGCGTGTACACTGCGGCCGTGTCGAGGTGGTGTACGGTAGATAACGTCGAGGAGCTCTTGGCGGATATGTTTGGACGGTCGCGAAGATAATCTCGTGCTTTCGTTGCTCACTGCTGTGACGCTATTTAGTGTATCGAAAAGCAGTACAAAACGCGCCGGCGCTTGAGAACCTCTGGTTTTCGTCGAGACTGGGGTTCTGTAGTTGCTGCATAGGTTATGCTATGAATAGCCGCTAATATAGGTTTTAGTGTAGGGGTTCTTAACCTAGGTTACAAAAGTTTTTATTTTTTTATTTTTTTTATGGCTGTATCAGTTTCTTAACTCCTTGTTGCGATCGATCATGGATGACACTTTTTTCTTTTTTTTGTGTGGTCGCCCGGTCGAATCGGCACCCATGCTTCGTGTCTCAGAAATTGTTGTTTTTTATTTTTGAAACCGCCATAGCCTTCCTGTGCAATCGCCAGAATTAGTTTGCCCGCCCTGTGACACTACATAAGTAGGTGATTTCTCGTCCAACCTTGAGGTAAGAATGATCGCACCAAGTTTTTTGTCCAAACGTCACACACGCTCGCTGCCTACCCGTATAACAGTCAAGTTACCACACTGATCGATCGCTATCTATCGCGGCTTGCAATAATCCTTGGAACGTGCCCACGATTATACACTTGAACTACGTCATATTCGGCGGCTTACGGAACGTGCCCACGATTGTTCACGACACACACAGGTGATCTGCAACCACGTCGCGGACCCCCGCATCGTCCTGAAGCCGAACGCGGGCTCCGACCGTTCGTGGGTATGGAACGCCTTTGACTTCACTGAGGGGCAGCTTGAGGAGATGACGTTTGCCCTGCGCTTCGGGAACTCAGACTCTGCCAACGAGTTCAAGGAGGTAAAACAAAAACAGACAACGAAGTACCGTGGATGGTTGTTGTTGTCTTCACATTTAAAACAGTTCCGATCTCTCTCTACCCAGTAGCGTCATCTGTGGACTCCCGTGGTCACTGACTAACTTACATATTAAAGGGTACATGTACTCACAAACAACGGATCCCGAAGGCTCTGCAAGCCAATTGTAGGAGGTTGCATAAGATATTACACCCCCTGTGCCGATTGTCAGAGCAGAGACGGTGGCGGTGGCGGTGTCGGGGCCGCCTCGTCGAAAGCTTTCCGAGAACGTATAGAACGTATTACGTACTTCGATTTTGTCATCCTCTTCCTCGTGGAGTACAGGCGTGCTTTCAAAATCGGTCCAGGGGGTGTGGTATGTTGTGTCATGTCATGTCACCTACGGTCCTACGGTACGCACGTGTGTGTGTGTAGCCAGGTTCGCCTACGTACGTTGATATATGTATGCATACGTCCTTTTGTAACGGAAATCAAGATCTACCGTTTCGTTCCGCACGAAAGGTAACCCCCCCCCCCCCCCCCCCCTCCCCCGCCGTCTCCCCTCAGCCACCTTTGGCGAAGTCCGAAGGAACGATTGGCCATCGGTGATCGGTCCTGAGGGAACAATGCTCCGTCGTCCTCTCGAAGACGCGTGGTCAATGGTTTATCAACTAAGGCATCTAAAACATGAATCCCACCCCCTCCCCCTCTCTTACCTCGATCGACAACCACGGCAACACAGGTTGAGCACATGATTGGGCTGGGCAACCTTCCCGCCGCGGCGGCGCTGATGGACCACTTTGGGTTGCACGGGGCCTTGCCAGCGTTGGATCCCGCGCTCATCGAGGCCTCCGCGCGAGAGAGAGCGGCGGCGCACCTGCAGCTCCCGATTAGCAGCTCGAGGGTGAGTCGACTGCGGTCTTGTTGTTGCTGTTGTTGTTGTTGTTGTTGTTGTTGTTGTTGTTGCTGTTGTTGTTGTTGTTGTTGTTGTTGTCGTCGTTGTTGCCGCTGCTGCCGCTGCTGCTGTTGTTTTTGTCTGCGTTCGTGATATTGTGATTGCTGGTGTTGGCGTTGACAGCGAAGTGTTCGTCGTGGCTGCGGTCGCTGTTGGTAGTGGTGGTGGCGAAGGCATCGGGAATAAACTAGAGCCCCGCGACAACAAGTCAAGGGCAACAATTGTAATATAATAATGGTAATTGTAATATGGAAGAATGGTAATATGCAACAATGGCAATATGGAATAAATGTAATAAGGAAAAGAGCTAGAGGAATAACACATGCGAGCACGCGGGGGTCTGTAGTCTGCATGAGCTTCGAGACTTGGATTGTTCTTTAGAAGTTCCGAACGAATTTTAGCTTTGTCGCTGTAATCCATGTAAGACACCGGAGGTTTTGCACAGTTCGAGAGAAGGGTGCAAGGCAAGATTTCTCGAGAGCTTCCATGTCAGAACCCTGCCAGGCCGAGCTAGGCTGGCGATGGAACTGTTCATCTTATTTTTCCAGCAGCAGTGCTTGTCTTTTGGTGCTCGCATGAATCCACGGCGGGCCTATCAAAATGGTCTGCTTTTCTCCACGCATGAGCCTGGATCGTCTCGAGTTTCCCGAAACACCCCGCTGCTCCGTGAGGCGTCCAGAACTCAAGATTCAGATTGAGCTGACATTGCTCTGCCTCTACTGTTGTTAAGAACTGACTCTTGGCTCATCTTCAGGTTCTCGTAGTGGAAGGGTGGCAGACGCTCCAGTACGCTCGACAGGTTCTGATGGAGCCGGCGGCGGTAGGAGGAAAAGGCACCGTGCCGGGGGTGCGATGCGTAGGGTTGGACGTGGAGAATTCTCCGACAACGAACAGGGCGACGCTGCTTCAGGTGTGGTGATGGTGGTGAAAAGGTGCACTGCCGCGCATTGCTGTTGTTGTGGTTGATGTTGTTGATGTTGGTTGCCGTCGTTGTTGTTGTCATTGGAGGGCAACGTGCTTTGCTGTTCGTCTTCACATCAGAAACTCGTTTTTAACCTGTATTTGCCAGTGGTATTTGCACGTTCTTTCCCGCACCCGTGCAGGCGAAAGATTTACAAAAACAAAATCTCCTCCTCGAAGCCCATCCAACAGAACCATCCAACTCGTTTCTGTACCCTCTCTACTTTGCATCCCAGTGCTTTGCTTTCATGTTTTATCTTTGGACGCCATTGGCTCGATCTTAGGCCTCCAACACCAGCAATAACTTCGTCATCTTGCACCCACGATACTGATCGCCCCGACCGCCCAGCGTTAACATCAGTCTCCTTGTTCCTTCCCGCTGTAGGAGTGATGCTACGGCAAGGGGTTGCACTTTGTGTGGTGAAATCTTACCACGCTCTTGGGAGAAAGCAATTTTCGGTGATCGTACGGCGAATTAGCAAGCGGCCATTATATTTACGCAGAATGTGTCTCTCTATCCGAAACAAGATGACGTGACACCCCCCTACCGTAGCACCACCCCCCCTCTCAATGGTCCGTCCTCTCGAGGACGCGTGGTCAATGGTCTGTACCCGCTAAGGCATGCAAAATATAAAAGAGTACCCCCCCCCCCCCCCCCCCCCCCAACCCCCCAGGGGGGGCCCCCCCCGGGGATTTTTTCTTTTTACCCCAACCCCCCCTTGGGGCCGCGGGGGGGGGCTTAAAAATCCCCCCCGGTTCTTGCCCCCGGGGGAAAAATCTCCCCCCCCCCCCCCCCCTGGATAATGGTGTTTTT